GCATAGTGTCTGTATTTTGCCTCTAGTCACAGCAGTAAGACAGCAAGGTTGCTGCTAGTGCTACATAATCAAGGTGGAGTAATAAACACAAGTGGCATTGTGAGCAGCCACTCTCAGGCATCTGAGGATTTGTTTCATATGACTCTGTTGTTGTACCTTTTATCTCCTGTTTCCTTGATTTTCCTTTCTCGTATTATCTCTTCCTGCTTTCTTTGTTTTTATCCTCACCTCTCTTCTCTTCTTTACCTTTCTTGATACCTTTTTCTGTATTCATCTTCCTAACTCCATCAAATTCAGAGGCTCACAGGCCTTGCTTTTGCTATCGTTCCTGCCATTGAACAGATACTCCCTCGTGAGATATTTCTTTGTTTCTTCCCAATGAATTATTTTAATTCAATGATCATGAAGACAACTTGCATGTTCATTGTATAAAAATTACAGTAAGTGAACACTGAAGAGAAAGGAGAGCTTTGGAGTGGAAATACTGTCCTGCTTCATAGACAGATGGTGTAGAAGTGCCCCCAGCCCAGTGCTTCATTTTCATCTTTTGATTCCTTTCACTTTTGATATGGGTGCTATGGCAATGATCTGGGTTATTTAACTGCTGGCATGAACAAAAAAATTCTGCCTATATGAAAATGCAGAGAAACAGTTTTGCCATTCCTCAGCTATATATGTCTAGCCTGGAAGTGACAAGTAGCTAGATTTTCCTCCTCACTGAAACCCACATGGATTTTAGGACTCATAATACAAATATTTCCAGACATGCTATTGTTCACAACTGGTGCTGCCATGGAGCAAGGGCAATTTGTACTTCCATTTTTGTGTGAACCACAATTTAGACTCGAGGGAGGATTTTATTAGTAATACCTGCAGGACAGATTATACCAAAGTGATGATTTGTTTCTGTCAGATTATTACTAACACTTCTCTTTCAGTGACTTTGAAGTGGTACAGAAAAGGCCAGTCTATTATAAGATAATTTATACCTGTGATCAGTTAATGATGATATCTTCCAGTTCCTTTCCTGGTGCAGAGTAGGATGCTATTTTAAAATGATAAATCCTTTATCAGCTTAAGTGATGGTTACCTGAAATGTCTTTTCTGCAACCTCTGTCTGTATGCCTGAATGACCTGAGGTGTTCCGGTTAGAAGCCTATAACAACTTCTGGGCCAGCTAAAAGAGGTGTTCTTCATAATATATCCTCAACAGGAGGGCATTCTTCCTCTTTGAGATCGCTATTATTTTCCCAATTTTGCTGCAGTGCTCATTTCTCATCTTACAACTTTTTTCCTCAACAAGATGAAGTTACAGATAGCAGGAAGATCTTGGGCTTGGGAAGGATTTTTGTCATCTGTTAAGGCCAAGTTTTGAAAAATATTGCTCTAAAACCTTTGTTTTGTTCTGAAAAGTAAGGAATGTAGCCTGCTACTAAATATCCTAAAAGACAAGGTGTATTTTCTTCTTTTTGAGGACTCTGTTTCCATTTCCTTATATCCCTCAATGTGTAGATAACACCTGCAGCAGAGAGTTATTAGCAGAATATAATAGACCATCATCAACAATAACTTCTTTTTCAATAGCACTGTCTTGAAATGTCTTTAATCCTGAAGAGCATTGAGAGTGCCCGATAAGTATGTGTAGAAATGAAACAGGCAGCACAAAGCCCAACATATTGACATATTTGCCTAGATATAAAGAACTAGAACATTTCATTTGAAACCTGGATAAAAACTTTTATGTCATCAGCAACACATAAAACTGCAACAAAGAAGACACTCCTAATGCATGTGTCTGAATCCTCAGCTGGTCAAACTGTGATAGTACCAATGAGTTTAGCAGTGCTCAGTCAATGCGTGTCTGAAGGGTCTGGGAACCCAAGAGCAAATTGATTCCATCGATCATGGGAAACTCTCTCTAATCAATGCCTATTTGGTTGCATGAAAGAAAGCAAAACAGAGTCCTGAAATGTGCTTAGTAAATTTAAAATGCTGCTCAGGACTTCACCTATGTCTGATACCTTCTCCAAGAAAGAACAGAAAACCACTTTCAGTTCAACTCTGCTTACTGTACAGCTTGAGCAAACAGAGTCTGACCATTTTAATTAATATTCAAACATTTCTTTAAAAAAATCTTATTGTGCAAAATAATATGTTTGAAGGTGTTATTCAGTACAATGCTCAAAAGCTTGTTTGGATAGTTATTCAAGTAAACACTGAAGGACTCAGAATCAAAGGAAATATGCACTAGAGCTACATGGCATTATTCAAATAGCTCAGAGGAGTTTTATTTAAAAGAGAGTGAGTCACTGTTGAATTTTAAAGAAACATGCTATTTAAGTCACCAGTGCATAGAGAGGCCCCTATCATTAGCATTTTGCTTCTTGACACTAATTTATAGCACAGGGTAGTATTGCATCAAATCATTGTCAAACAGATAATGCCAATGTTCCATTCAGAGATTTCACATCAGCTGCAAAATGACAGATAACAAGACTGCTTCTGCCTAAATAAAGCAATGCATCTGTTAGAGTCCTAAATGACTTTTTGCATGGGGTGTTCTTCAATTAAGAAAACTCAGGCAAGCTGTGGATATGTGTCGGAATGAATCTTTATGTACTGAAATAGGTAGAAGGAGAGAGTAAAACTATTCATTACCTAGTGAAATGAAAACTGTTTCATGTATGCTATTGTGATTCAGCAGCATTCACCAAAATATATTCTACCCTCATTTAAAAGTAGGGCTAACAAACCAGACATTATCAGAAGCGACTCCATGAAGAAATATGCTGAACACTACATAACTGGAGTCAAAGTCACACAACTTGTCAAGAGAGGCATATGGACCTTCTACTTCCAGTTATCTTACCAGGTAATTTCATAGGGACTAGGAAGGCCACAAATAAATTGAGCAAATCTTACCTTAAGGTCTCAGGAACTATTATCACATAAGCTACACATGCCTTTTGCAAGAGTCCAAAATATAGGGCTAATTTATCCTCTCTTATTCTCAAAGAACTCTGTATCTCAGGTAAGATAAGGGCTGTAAATTCTGCTACAAGAGCTGCTACTATGATAATTCTAGCCAGGACTGCACACCAAAGGGTCTCAGTCATGCTACCTTGGCCTGGGAGATAGAGCGGATGTTCCAGAGTTTCTCTTACCTTTCTAATATCTTAGCCCTGGATTTCACACAGTAATTTAACCACTGTAGGTGTGTATCTCTTCTGGAACATGTCTTTAAATGGCCCAAACCACACATGCTCCATTTTCCCAACTTACATATACTGACTCTTTAAACACATGCAACTCCCTCCACCTACATGTATAAAAGCCTGTTTGCTTGCTTTTAAATCAGGTAATAAAGTGTTCTTAGTGACCAGCAAAGTGTTAAAAACAGCCCTAAACACTGTCTTTCCCACACATATGTACTAAGCAAGTCTTAAAAATCCTATCAATATTTTTCTCTCTGCCCTTTACATTTTTCCCAAATCTTCACAGTGCAGCCAATGCGCCTCCCCTCCAATTCTCCCACTGTTGCTTGTAGACGCTGATTCTTTTGGAGGTCCCCAACCCACCTTCAAAGTTCCTCGGTTCCTTCAGCAGCAAATGATGCACTGTTCCAGCCTGTAACAAGTTATGGGAAAATCAAGAGGAACCTGGCATCCTTCTATAGATCAAGCCGTGACCTAGACACAAACAGCAGAGCTGTTCAGGCAGTGAGGTGGGAAACGCTGAAAGAAGAGTGAGGTCAGAAAACATCATTGCGATCCCAAGCTAAGGCTCTTTGCTTGGAGATTAGAGGCTTAGTTCATATACATCCCCCCTTATTTATTTTTGCAATGGCAGTGAGAGGCAGAAGAAAGGAATTAGGCAGCTGAAGTGTTTTTAACTGCCAGTTAGCCATTCTCCCTGTGATGATGTAGGACTCATTCAGATTTCTGCTACCACATTCTCAAAAGACAGAAGCTGGTAGGTGCCCAGTACAAGCCAAAAATACTCTCCTGAAACAAGACAAGACAGATTATCATCTTCTAAATGGGTTAGGATCTCTTAAAGTAACTATTCATTTAAGCAAAAGGACTGAGCAGTACTTTCAACACGTTACCTAGGCAGGCAGGTATGATCACTCAACAGGAAAGAATCATCACCAGCAAAGTCAGATAATGTTAGCCATATTCAAGATACATTGAATGTTTATGTTACTGCACATAATTCCTCCGTACAGATGTGAACAGCACAGTATTAGACAACAGAAAAACGATGTACCTTGATTTCCGCACCTTATCATACACACTTATCCACAGAAACTCACAAATCTCATTGGGATTAAAGCTTAATCTGGTGTGGCAGTGATGCTTTATTCCACCCGGATTTACTACATCATGAAGTATTTCCTAAATAATTAAACATAAACTGTGGCTGTCAAAACAAATGAACTACTCATTTGTTTTTTGATATGTTATCTTGTCCTCTTAAGAAGTTTATCTACCACTGTGTGATTGCAGAACTGGGCATTGCTCTGTATATATCCACAGAACTGATAGGACTGACCACTTTCATTCAGGAGCGGGGATCCCTTGCTCTAGTTAGCCAACACTCACCCTCAGGCAAACCACAGAA